TGTGTTGAAAAGGGCAAGCCCCCCCCCCCCCCTTATATTAATGATCAGTGGAAGAAGGACCCCTTTATTTTAGTGGTCAGTGGGGAAAGGACCCCTTTATATTAAGGGTCAGTGGAAGAAGGTCCCCTTTATATTAGTGGTCAATGGGACAAGTCCCCCCTTATATTAGTGGTCAGTAAGACAAGGCCCTTCTTATATTAGTGGTCAATGGGACAAGGCCCACCTCATATTAGTGGTCAATGGGACAAGCCCCCCCCCACGCCACCGCCCCAATCACAATAGGACAAGAACCTCCTTATATTAGGGGTCAATGGGACAAGGCCCCCTCTATATTAGTGGTCAACAGAATAGGGCCCCCTCCTTAAATTAGTGGTCAATGGGACAAGGCCCCCCCTTATATCAATAGTCAGTGGGAAAAGAACCCCCTTATATTAGTGGTCCGTAAGAGGAAGTCCCCCTTATGTAAGAGGTCAGTAAGGGAAGTCCCCCCTTATATTAGTGGCCAGTGGGACAAGGACCCCCTTATATTTGTGGTCAGTAAGACAAGGCCCTCCTTATATTAGTGGTCAATGGGACAAGCCCCCCCCTTATATTAGTGGACAATAGGACAAGAACCTCCTTATATTAGGGGTCAATGGGACAAGGCCCCCTCTATATTAGTGGTCAACAGAATAGGGCCCCCTCCTTAAATTAGTGGTCAATGGGACAAGGCCCCCCCTTATATCAATAGTCAGTGGGAAAAGAACCCCTTATATTAGTGGTCCATAAGAGGAGGTCCCCCTTATATAAGAGGTCAGTAAGGTAAGTCCCCCTTATATTAGTGGCCAGTGGGACAAGGACTCCCTTAAAGTATTGTTCAGTGGGAGAAGAATCCCTTATATTAGTGGTCAGTAAGAGAAGGACCCCCATACACTAATGTTCAGGTGGGAAGACCGCCCCTATACAGACAGCTAAACAGACCATGTCAGTAGTTACTGAAAGACAGTTCATTTCTTGAGGAACCCCCAGCCACCTCTAGAGGAACCCCCATCATCCTCTGCCACCTCTAGAGGAACCCCCATCATCCTCTGCCACCTCTGGAGGAACCCTGGTTGAGAAAGGCTGATTTAGAAACGCATTGGCACTTTATTGAAGTTGCCAAAAATATTTTCCTGTGGAAGACAATCCCACATTTTTACAGCTCTCACAGTCGATCAAATGAACCTCTTTTCATCAAGTTTACCAAATGGACCATTTAAGTATTTATAGTTCCGGGGTCATCAGAACATTTGCCACTTTTAGTTTTTTTGCTCTCTACGCCTTTCTGTTGCAGTGACAACTGTGCCCCATCATTTGTTGCCCTGGTGTCACCAGAAAGTGAGAGATTATCTTCTCTGAATTCTCTCAAACACTAAATACAAAGGGGGTTATTCACTAAAGAGCCGAAGGATCGAGCCGTAGCTTCAGCCGCTGGAGCCCTTCAGTTCATTCGAACCGAAGGGCTGCTGTAAGAGCTATTGACAATAGCCCGTACAGCAGCCGAAGGCGGCCGAGCAGCTCAGTCAAGCCGAACGCATATGCTTTGGCTCGACTGATCCAAAGTGACAGCCGAAGCGGGGTGACTGGCCTGCCAAAGGCCAGCCGTTCGCCCCGCAAATCACAGCTGGGCAGAGCAAGCTCACGGCAGGCTCCGCCCAGTTGTAATGACAGATCAGCGTCCCCAAATGACCTGGGGGTGCTAATCTGTCATTAAACAATAACAACTGGGCGGGGCCAGGGCCAGCTTTGCCCAGTTGTTATTCATTGGCCGGCACCTGCTAGAAGACTCTAGCAGGTGCCGACCAATAGGAAACAGTTGGGCGGAGCTAGCTGTCACTGTTGTTTTTCTTTTTTATTATTATTTTCTTTTTTTTAAATACCTTTATTTATTTTTAAATTTTACTATTTATTTTAAAAAAAAATTGGCAATTTTTTTTTTTTTATTATTTTCACTGATTTTCTATTCTGCTCGGTACCACGGAGGTACCGAGCAGAATAGCCGAGTCGAATGCCGCCCTGCGGCTTTCGGCTATTCACTCACTGCCGTTCGGCCCCTATGTGAATAGGGGTGAATGGCAGCGAGTGAGCTGCCGGAGCTTCGGCTAAGTCGATCCACATGTTGGATCGGCTGAGTCGAAGTCCCTCTGCACTTTGGCTCAGGCAAACATGCTAAGCATCTTTGGCTGACCGAAGGCAGTCGATGTACGGTTGATTTCAGCCGTACTGAGCCGGAGTGAATAGCCGAACGTCCTTCGGCTCTGTTCAGTTCGGCTCGGTTATTCACTCAGCTAACTTTGTGAAAATAACCCTGAAAGTTTTGGATGAAGTTCAGCTTTAAAATGATTTCTTTGTTCTTTGGGAACCCCCCCCCCCCTAAATAGACAGCTCTCAACTGGAGGGGTGAGTAATCCTTGTTGACCTCCTAATGACAATTTAATTAATTCCACGGATCAATCATCCCAATTAGATCCCGGGGCTAATAATAGGCACAGATTCCGCTGTCTGTCCGGAAGCACCTAATCCATTTTTAATGCCGGCCGGTGGGATCTGCCACCACCCCGGAGGAAAGTTCCTCTATGTTGGTGGTGATGAGGCCCGGCGGACGCTGACGGCCGCGACTGTCACCCGCACAGCTGCCGCGTTGAAATACATTTTTGTATATTGACCTTTGTTGAAGAACGATGGGGATCATTTACATTAAAGTCGCTGTAAAGCCGACCGCTACCGTCTCCTGCACGCTGTAACATGGCGACGTAATTTCCCAAGTCATTCTCAAAGAGAAGCTTTCATTAAAATAATCTCCGGTGATCCTTGCTGCAGCACTTCCTGGTACAGGGTGACAACCTTCTGTGCGAAGGTTGCCTGCAGCAGACTGATGATTGGGGGAGGGGAGACTTAGGAAATGCTTCCTCCTGCCTGCAGCAGATTGATGACATCATTTCAGCCTGGGCAAAGTCACTGGACAGGAACACGTGGATGGATTTTAATGATAAAAGTGGAGCTTTTCTTAATTATGATGTTTCTGTATATTGTAACATGTCAGGAATTTGTTGGAGATTTCTAATGTGGACGCAGATATCGTCGTGCCTCCGTATATATGTGTGAGCCGGTTGGGAAGGAGTTAAGTTTCCGTTAGAAGGCGGAGTTGATTTTTGTATTTGTAGTTTGCTGCGGTTTACAGCCGCTATCTCAACTCTCACCTGAGGTCATTCCTAATCAATAGAGGAACCAGTTAGCAATCAATCACACAGCAACACTCCGCCTCCACCCCTCCCATGTCATATCATCCAGGGGTAGTCAGCCGCGGCACTGCAGCTGTTGTGGAACTACAAGTCCCATGAGGCATTGCCAGACTCAGGCAAGTCACAGGCATGACTACCAGAGGCAGAAGCATGGTGGGATTGGTAGTTTCACCAGGGCTGTGCAGGGTCTCACCAAGGCTGTGCGGGGTCTCAGGAGTCTGTGCATGGTCTCACCAGGGATCATGTCCCGGCCTCGCCCCCGGCTCATGTCCCGGCCTCGCCCCAGCTCATGTCATGTCAGACAAAATGAGACTTGCAGTGTTTTTCTGGTCTGGTCTGGAACGGACTGCCCTGGTGTGAACAGAGACCAGAAATAGAATAGGGATACATTTGTCCAGAAACAATCTGCTCTGGTCTGGAGATGATCTGGATGTGCCCTTAGGGCCCATTCATGGCTCCGATTGGGGCCGATTGTACGAATCTCGAAAAACGTCTCCTTGTAACTCATGCGATCTGCTGCAGATGGGTGACGCTGTATAATGAGGACAGACGCCACCACCTGCAGTTAGGGCCAGTCCACACCACAAACTCTGCGTTCCAGTGCGTTCGGCCTCTGGAACGCAAGCCGGCAGACTTCAATGCACCGCCATGCCCCCTCTCACTGCAAGCACTATTTTTGCTGATCGCACTGGTCCGGAACGGTTCTGGGAGCGGGTGATCACACTGTGGGCCCCTCCCACCCCTGAACGCAGGGAGCCAGCCAGCTTGTGTTCCAGTGCGTTCCAGAGGTAGATCAATTGCAATGCACACAACATGCTGACAGAAGGAGAGAGCACACTGTCCAATCACAGGCTGGGGGAGGGACAAGACCTGTAGGTGTTACTGAACTGCAGCAGAGAAAAATCAGGTCTCCTGCTCTGCTATATAGGGCTGTGCTGTGTGACAGAGCTGTATAAATCTCCCGAGTCCCGACTGGATGGACAGCAATAGAAATCCTTCGGCAGCTCCCTTATATGTATTTAGCTATTTGGCCCCCCCGAGCTGCTCTTGAAGGGCCCCCCGGAGGTGCTCTTTAAGGCCCCCCTGGAGCTGCTCTTTAAGGGCCCCCCAGAGCTGCCCTTGAAGGGCTCCGCTGTCATGGGCCCCCTCAGAGCCCTTGGTATGGGTGACTCTCCTCGGGGCAGACGAGGCCTCTCCCGGGTCTATAAATAGGGGTGAAAGCCGAGGCCGGGGGATGGAAGACGAGCCGCCTGTTATTACAACGTGCTCAGCACTCTGCCGGGCCGCAGCCGCCGTGTTTATCTTCCGTCCCCGGGATACCGAGAAAATAAAATCAACTTCCTTTACTACGCAGCCCGCCGCCATCTGCCACCAAGGGCACCTGCCATAGGGGCCCCCGATGTATTATCACTGCAACCAATCAGATTACTGGTGAACTGCGACATCATTGATAGCGTAATCGGCCCGATCACTGAGACCTCACAGACGCTGTCACCATTGTATTTCCAAAGCAGATGTCAATGGATCTGCTTGTATGTTGCCTTCCCTGGCTCCTCCCCCTTCACCCCTCATCAACACGCTAATGACATTTCAAATCCAACCTTTTATTACATATTGCATGTTAGACCCGGTGATGTCATCACTGTGTCCCCGTTCTCTATGCCAGTGCTCCCCAACCTTTTTATCGCCGCGGACCGGTCAACGTTTGATCATTTTACCGCGGCCCGCTGAGGGGGGGACGTTGATTGTTTATATTTTAGATTGGAATCACCTGTCCCGACAAATCCATATTTCAAGTAGGACTCATGGTATTGTCTGTTAAAGTTACATGTTTCTTTGATGTTGAAGGCCCTTCTTCTGTCTGTTGACTGGGCCTTTTCTTTTTCCCAAGGAAACTTTCTAACGACGTCTGTTTCGTACTCATTTTTGCTAATTTGTGGGTTAAATTTGAGCAAACAGAATATACACGTACACCAAGCACTGTTAAACATGAGAAAGTACCGGTGAACAGAGGGAAGAGCGATACACACCTTCTCTTTACCAAAGCTACAACGCCACTGCCGCTTGCAGCCACTCAGCTCCAGGCGTCACCTAAAACCGCCCCGATATCACGATATTTTGCGCATGCGCGGTATTGGTGCGGCTTTAGGTGACGTCTCTCAGCTCCCGGTTAGCCTCTCGTCCTGGGAAGTCGGACAAACCCGAGAGAAATACACCACAGTAAATAAAATGGAAATAATTTTATGTTCCTTGGGCGGCCTGGTACCATTTGATCCTCGGACCGTTACCGGTCCGCGGGCCCGGGGGTTGGGGACCACTGCTCTATGCAACGCAGGCAGATCATGGCTGGTGGCCGGGTGCTGTACAGAGCTTCCTGAAAAACATCACCGCACCCTGCCTCAGTACTTCTAGATTATCACCGCACCCTGCCTCAGTACTTCTAGATTATCACCGCACCCTGCCTCAGTACTTCTAGATTATCACCGCAGCCTGCCTCAGTACTTCTAGATTATCACAGCACCCTGCCTCAATACTTCTAGATTGCATTTCGGATCTTCCAATCATGGAGGCTCAGTGTCACATGTGGGTGTTGATATTTGCATAACTCCTCCCAAGAGACCTGATGCATGCCGGGGGCTGGCTCTTGGGAGGAGTTATGCAAATATCAAAATGACTCGATGGGTGGGTGTCAGTCTGGAGGAGTGGATGTTCCTAACGCCTACCAACCACCCTAGGTAACACCCACTTGTGACACTGAGCCTCTATGATTGGAAGATTCGAAATGCAATGAATGAAAGGGGCGGGGCCAGGGGTGGTCAGGCTGAGGAGGAAAGTGCTAGCTGATGCCGGATGTCCTCCAGCCAGGAAATGAGGCGGGCTCTGACTTGCGACAGCTTCTAATGCACACTGTGAGCAGCTCAGAGTGTGCAGTGAAATCTGAAGGGAAGGACGGAGGTCAGATAGAAGACTGAAGGGAAGGACGGAGGTCAGATAGAAGACTGAAGGGAAGGACGGAGGTCAGCTAGAAGAATGAAGGGAAGGACGGAGGTCAGCTAGAAGACTGAAGGGAAGGACGGAGGTCAGATAGAAGACTGAAGGGAAGGACGGAGGTCAGATGGAAGACTGAAGGGGAGGGGTTCAAATTTAAAGTGTCATTCCGGGATAATTTTGTCCTCCCTTCCCCCCTCTAATCATTCCAGACAAAGGAGGGGAGAAGAGTTAGGAGCGACGGGTCATTTGACCTCAATCAGCTGCGGACAGGTGCGTTCCCCACCCCACAGCTGCACTTAAATAAAGGGGGCGGGTTTCCGGTGTGATCATTGACCTTTTATGGTCCTGTGGCCATATAAGGTCAGTGATGTCACCAGAATCCCGCCCCACAGCAGCTGATTGGGCCGGCACTAAAGTATGATTAGGCATGTCCATAGATGTCGGCTCTGCAGGCAGGAAATGTCATGATGCTTCCACACTTACCGATCCCCATCCTCCTGGGATGTGAATGCCCCAGGGGGCTGCAATTGGCTGAAGGTAGGCCACCTTGCCCCGGGGGCGGGGGGGGAATGAGGCTGTTGGAGGGCAAAATGAAACTACTGTATATACAGGTCACAATACTTAGAAATTGTGTAATAGAGAGTAGAGAGGGATGAATGGTGAACGATCCTCTTTAATGTTGGCATTGGCACATATCCCCCCCCCCCCATGGCAGTGCACTGCTTCTCATGTGTTTTGTTTGAGGATAGCTTGCTTATTAGTACTAGAAACGGCCAGCATTGAATATCCCCCCATAGACTTCAGTGGGGTTTACCGCAAAGAGATGTGAACTTCAAGCATGATTTGGGCAGATTCGCTGACATTTAGAATCTGGACATGCAAGAAAATCAGCTGATTGCAAATTGATTTGCTGGTCTGGGCTGACCGGGTATTACTCCCGTTACATCGCCCCCCCCCCGGGTGTTAGCACTGAGGCCCTGAGCTCACTGGCATTTGGACACATCCCTGTAGACCTGTCATCCTGCCACAGAAGGTCTCCACAGAAGGAGTAAGGCCTCATTCACACTGCCGCACGAATGCGCGCGTATTGTACCATATTCAACCTATTCAAATAAATGGCTCCATACACACAGCCGCGTATAGAGCCGTATATATTTGCGTAGCGTATATATGCGCAAAAACAGAATGGAACAGAGATGCGTCCGGGCAGCGTGTTTCTGCATATTTACGTGCATATACACACGCACATGAAAAATTCCATTACGAGTGATGCATTCTGGGATTGCATATAGTGCACGCATATATGCAGAGCTCTCTATAGTAGGAGTAAGACCCGATCCTCTGACCAGTAACAATATCAGTCTTTGCAAAGCTTCCGTAAAGCGGAACTTTGACCTTCCTGTCAGTGCAGATGATTGGGCAGAAAACGTTGGGTTCGGCTCCTTCAACAAAAGTTGTTTGAAATATCTACTTTTGTCAAACGGAGGGGTACCAATAGGGGCCACAGACCACTTGAATTTCAGCAGGCAGTAGGACT